CAAAGTACAACAAAAAGTATAATACGCTCTACACTGCATGCACAATAGTTTTGGTTACTTTAAATAAAAGTAAACATTAAAAGTACACATTACTCGAATACATTTTAATAAACAGAACTCAATAATGATATTACTTTCACACGTAACAGCAAAAACACTATTAAGCAAGAAGACGAGTGCCCTATTGATGATCCTATCAGTTGTACTAGCAGTGTCTACATTGACTGGATCTACTAACAATCACTACAATGGTGAGATACTGACTGCTATACTAATAGATTATAATTATGCCTAATAATTACTTTTACACTATCATAAACAAGACCCTACAGGATTCACAGATTGTTGTAAGTTCTGTAATACACTATTGATTTATTTTATTATTTTAAAGCTGTTACTAAGGAATTTGCAGAACTTACTAAGGCAACATTAACTCCATTGATATTGAAACATGGGGAAAAAAACTACTGGCAAGGATTGCTACAGATCAGTGAGTGATAATGATTATAACACGAGACACCTACGGTGCGTGGCCTCGCCCCTATAGCTGTTTGATTATCAAAATTAAAAGAACTTTAGCATGCAAATTGCATATATACATAAAAAAGTGTACTCCTGAGGGATTGCAGCTAGCTTGCATAGATCTACCAGACTACCTGCAGAAGTAGCAGCATGCAAGCTAATCCAGCTAGCTACTCCCAAATTGGAGGTGTGGCATTACATCATCAACAATTAATTAATTATTAGATGGAAACAAGAAGGAAGTTTCAGATTTTTCAATACTGTTGCCTAGATGTAAATTGAGTGATTTGAGAGAGTTTAGGACCTTTAGACTACCTACAGTTCACTCGGGTTGAAATTCAAGAAGCTATAACTCACCAACAAGAAAGATTTAAAGAGTCCCACAAAATTAATATTAAAACAATAACTCGAGGGGTCCGCAACTCCTATTTTAGGTGTACGAGATTGAGAGATTAACCAGATTTTTGAGATTATCAGAGATTATTTGAGATTATTTGGAAGATTACCAGAGATTTTTTTGAGATTTCCAATAATTTTTTGGGATTATCAGAGATTTTTTTGAGATTATTTATTAATTAACTACTTTATAACTTTTAATATTTATTAATTAAAGCTAGTTAACCATTATAACTATTAATAATTATTAGTTGAGGTTTAATTAATTTTAATAAACTCCGGATACTAGCAGATATGGTGAGATTATTTTGAGATTTTTAAAGATTATCAAGGATTTTTTGGGATTTCCAGAGATTACTGGAGATTTTAAAGATTAACAGATTATTATAGATTATTTTCAAGGGTGTACGGGATTATTTGGAGTTGCGGACCCCTCGCAATAACTAGTCTTGATCTACTGGAAAAGAATCTCATTTACCTCCAGAGTACTACCGCTATTGCTGGGCATTTTCTCGTGAAATAAAAAGCTTCTACTAGCTAGAGCTGCTCTCTAAACATCTCAAGGCAGTAAAGCAAGACTTTTCCTAACAGAAGAGAAGCTCTCACAGATTTAGAGCACGCGATTATAAAGATATACATTCTCAAAAACAAAATATAGCACACAGAATGAATGAATGACAGACAGACAAACTGAGTACCTAGTCCTCGCCTACGCAAAGCTGGGCGAGGCCAATAAACCAGAATCCATTTGTAGAGAGAACAATAGAATGGGGTATACTGCATGCCACACTGACACATGCATGACTTCAAAAATTATACTAATATAACTTTCATTGATGAGAAAATTAATTTATGCGACTTCTTTGTTGATGTAATTCAAAAATATTGTCCAATACAACCAGGAACATATCAATTGAAATTTATAACACATCAATTCAAAAATTACTTAAATCTTACTTTTGTGGATGCTAAGTATAATCTTTGTGACATGATTGTCTCATTGACTAATGAATACTGTCCATTGAAACCTGGAATATATCACGGAAAATTTGAAGATACAATCCCATCACTTGATTGGCCTGTAAGTAAGCAAAATACTTTGTATCATTAAACATTCTCTTTAAAGGGCAAGTTTCACTTTAAAGCCATTGCTTACAATGAGAAAAGTGATGAAATATATTGTGGAATGATAGAAGTT